CCTAAACCCTAAACCCTGCAAGCGGGTTCGCTAACGGGGACGATTTCCCCGCAAAATTAAGACACTTGTGTGCTTGCAGCTACTTGGAAACCTAGCCTGCGCGAGGGATTCCTAGCTTTTTGCAACTGCCTCTACATGACATTCTTGCTTTCTGTTTTGTGCTGCCACAAGCAAAACAACGCAAAACCGGCTAGACCCGTTTTGCGCACTGTTTTCCTGCTTTTGTGGTTTGGCTTTGTTGTTTTGTTTGGGGGGGGTGGGGGGGTGGGGGGGATGATGATGTTCATGTCCGCCCTTCTTTTGCAGCGACCGCCTCTGGCCAAGCGGTTCCCCAGTGAGAAGTACCATTCTCGGTACCTCTTCGTCCACAGCTCAGGCACCGTCTCCCAGCTGACGAACTCAAAATGACAGCCCTCCGGCTGGCGCCAAAGCGACATATGCCCTTCAGGCAACATGCCTACTCCCCTTCCCCTTGCTGGACTCTTGAAACCTAAGTGGATGCCGGCCAAGCTTGGAGCTTATGATCCGCTGTGCTAGTACATGCAACTTGGACACAGTGTCTTTCGAACAAAACTCGGAGTTGCCATGCTGTGCGGCCGGATTCAGCACGAAATTCCAGGACTGTCCTTCCAGTAAGGCTGTCAGCTCACCAAAAGCATTTACATCACACCATATCACATCACATCACATCACCTCACATAAAATCACATAGCAGGGCATAGCAAAGCATAGCAAAGCATGACATTGGAATAGCATATCACAGCGTTACAGACCAGAACAGGCACTACCTAGCAACATAACATAACATAACATAACATAACATAACACTGCATAAACATGAATGACTCCAGCAGCAATCACAAAAATCTCAACTTAACCCTTCTGAAACCTTTTTTTCCCTGAACCAAAAACACGAAATCCCGAAAAAACCGAGTCCAAACCACCCCCGTTCTTGAACCCGCTGGGTAAACCCTAAACCCTAAACCTCCAAAATCCCTACCGCCAGAAAGCCCTGGAGCCCCAAACCGTAATCCTCAGTCCTACACTCTAAAGGCTCTAAATTCCGAAGCCCTAAACCTGTTTTAAAACCCTAGACCCTATAAGCCCTAACCCTGCCTAAAACCCTGCCCTAGGCCTCCCCTAAGCCCGCCCAAAAGCCCTGAATCCCTAAGCCCGACACCCCGAAGTTCAGGTGGCTATGCTTTGTCCACTGCTCGCGACGACGCCTGTCACGGCAAGTGGGATCAAGCCAGCTGCCTCTGGGCTGCGGTTCGAGCTGCGGGGTCTTTGAGGTTTTAGGGTCTTGGGACCCGAGGTTCAGAGCGGGGCTCGCCAAGAAGCTGAGAATCTACATTGCCGTAGAGAGGGTCTTGAGCTGCGACGATCTGGAGATGGTATACGCCTTGGAAAAGCAGATAGGATAGGGCCTCCAAATCCGGCCTTGGCTCATGCCTGAAGCCGAAACTTCCCGAAACCCATGAGCAAAACCTTAGAGAACCCCGGATGCGTTCATTGCAGGTTATGTTTATGGTTCTTATTCTAGCCGAAGCTTCAAGACGGCTCGTGAGGCTACCCTACGAAGGATGAGCTCTTCGGTTCAGGCGCGGGAAGGGCTGCTCCGGAATTTGGAGGCTTTACGGGATCTAGGGTGTAGGGTTTTAGGGTTTAGGGTTTGAGGGTTTTGGGTTTGATTTTAGATGCTTCGCGTCGTCACAGCTTCTGTACTTTGGCATCAGCTTCACGAATGATGTAAGCTCGCCCGTCTTGGCCTCGCTGCAGGCAAGAGACGAGGGAAGCCGAGGGGAAAAGGAGTGGAGGGGGCCGGGAGGCGAATTTGGGGTGGGTTGAGGGTTTAGGGCTTAGAGGCTTAGAGTCTAACGAAAAAAAACAGAGCAACCCCAACCCCGGAACCCTAAGACCTGAACCCAGAATCCTGAACCCACCACTCAAAACCCAAAACGCTTCACCATAAAAGCAAAAAGCCTTACCCTATGAATGCCTTTGTACACCCCTTCAAGGCCCCTTTGCAAGCCTCATAAGACCTTCTAGCAACAAGAAACCTTTGCGGCCTGCAAAGTCAAAGTTACTGGTGTCCCGGTTTTGGAGAAGCCCCTAAACCCTAAACCCGGCCCAGGCAGACGCAGCTTCGCAGAGATACTTGAAGCACGCCGAATCAACAAGACGCCCAGCTTTAGCTGTCAAGGTTTAGGGCTTTACGAGGTTTTGGAGCCTCGCGTCTCTATGAGTCTACTTGTGGGCCTCAGGTTTTAGGGCTTAAAAGCTTAGTTTTCCGCTGCCATTTTTTGCGGAATTTAGAGTGGATCCCTAAGGGAGAAGTTGACAGTAGTTTTTCTTCACTTAACAGAGAGCCTCCAAATTGTGCAAGCAAGCCGTCCGCTGCACACCCTAAACCCTAAACGTGGAACCCTCTGAGGATTGTCGTCACAGGCTTGGTCTACGACTTCTGCGTGAAGGCAGCGGGGGTAAGTAAGCTCTTCAAGGTACCCTGAGCAAACCCGGCTCGGTGTTTCAAGGACAAGGTGTTGCGAATAGCCTTAGTGGCTCAAGGCTCAAGCACACGCAGAAACGAACTTGAGACCAGGGAAACGGTGCATGGAGGGGCCGAATTCTATCTCCCTTCGTCCAAAATTCCCTGCCTTGGTCCTGCCTTGGTCCTTCCTCCATGGCTCCGATTGGTGGGTAGTCCTAGAAGCATGCGGGTCCCTTCAGCAAAGTCCATGCAGCTTCTTCGTCATGAAGACACGTGTTGAAGTGCCGGCAGCTGGCTAGGCTTGTGGCAGTGATATAGAACCCAAAAGCGGAAGGAGCGTAAACTATTCAAGAACCCCCACCATTCTCTGCCGTACGACATGAGTGTCACGATCGGGGCAGACGAGCCGCGGCCGTCTTCACCTCTCTTCAGAGGGGCACTTTACGGCTTGCGAAAGAATTTTGCCGTGCCGATGACGAACCTGCTATGCAGTAAAAGGGCTGCGCAATCGCTGGGCAGGCGCGTTCGCTGAACTGGATGCAGAAAGGGCGTTAGCGCGGCAACCTTGTAAATACAGAAGGTACTATAGTACTATGCGAACGCAGCAGCATACGAGGCTCAGCCTTTGTCGCTGCACTGCCTTGCCTGCGCCCTCGCTTTCATGTCCTTTCGGGCAGAAAGGGCATCTAAACAACGGTGGAGCTCGCCACGTCAATGTTCTCTGGAGTACTCGTCACCTACTGACGAGGTCCCCTGATGTGTGAAGTAGTGTCTGGAAGAATGTGTTGGCACGTGCAAGGAGACTGCCATCTTCACGAGGGAGAACAGTCCTTCCACGGAGGCGGATGTTGCGTGCGTTCATTGCATGTCTGTCTGTACGTGAGTATGTATGTATGTATGTATGTATGTATGTATGTACAGATTTAATATCGCTGCTGAGTACCCTGCTGTAATGACCTGCTGCAGTTGAAGCGTGTGTTTTGAAGTCGTGGCTTGACGATCTTGAATGCCGGGTGAGTGGTTGTAGCATCTCAGCATGGGGTCACTTCGATGCTGGTAGTCAAGGTGGGATAAGGGATCCACGCATCCACCGTCAGTAGTAGGATACTCATTACAAGGATTCAAGACGCCCCCATGTGCCCTTTCCTAGACCTCAAACTTCTCTAGCTATAGAGAGTCATATAAACTTTATAGTCTTCGTGGCTTGCAGTCATAGCTCGTGGCTTATGGTCAAGTGGTGGTCTGAGGGTGGGGTAGGCCTAAGATTCGTGATTTAGGCCCTAGGATTTGGGCTCTTGGATTCGTCGCTTAGGCCCTAGGGTTCGTGGTTTAGGCTCTATAGGCCCTGTACGTTTAAGTATTTCTTAGAACACGATTTTGCGAAAAGAGTTGCTAGCACAGTGTAAAATCGAAAGAGCACTTCAAACAATAAAAGCAATTCAATCTCTGATGTTGGGAGATTCTTGGGCGGGTGGGAATTGGTCTTGAGGATGGCTTGCACAGAATCTGCATAGTCAGAGCTGCTGAACCCTAAACCCTAAATCCTTGCTGGACTTCCGTACCGTTCGGAGCGAGGTGTGGGTCTTGGCAGATCTGACACGACCCAGCTTCGATGGGAAGCCGGGAGCAGCTTGGCATTTGGCTCCGGAGTTTCAGGCGCTTTGGAGGGTCATACTGGGTTTAGGGTTTAGCGTTTAGGGTTTAGGGTTTAGGGTGCCATATCGCCCTAAACCACGAAACCCTGAACGTAAACCTCTCAGCGCCGATGAAAACCTGAAGACAAAAATGGCGTATTTTTGAAGGCCCTAAGCACTACCCCGGCACGACGGAATTTGGCCTCGGCTACAACTCAGGCACCCTACACCACGGGCCTCTGCGATGGTCAGGACGGCCAGCTGGGCATGTGCATAAACACTTCAGTGTGTTTCGGGCTTTGCATGTCAGGGTTAATTCTTGGATCAGTGCAACGTTTCGATAACAGATTGGGATTTCCTCAGACTCAGAAGCCTGTGAAACCCGCTTCTTCTGACAGGGGGAAGGATGGGCAGGGCTTCCCTTCCAGGGAGTTCGGTGTGTCGGTGGCGGAACCATGAGGACAGCTGTCTGATGGTGCAAGCGCTAGTGCTTCTGCAGCGCACAGTCGCAGGAAACCGAGAACGGCTATTGTGCTGAAGGT